GTTTTTAAACTTCTGGTGATTATCTAATTAACACATGTCAGTCGCGAAAATGAACTGGTTATTAACATGGGCTAGAAAAAGATGTCTGTATCTACCAGTGCGTGTGTTGTATGAAATAAGACTTTCTTCATATTTTTTTTCGTAAAATTTATGCAATGTATCAGCAGATCTAGCCTGTGCGCGTAATACACCAGACTGAGATATCGATTTATTCACCTTCAGTTTGCAGATGACTTCGTTTTGATGTGTTATTATTAGCATATAACCTAACGCGCACGTGGTAGGTGCACTGTCGCACACACTAGTCGTTTTGAGAGACCGCTTATTTGAAAAGGTTCAGGAGCCTTATGCTTCAAAGGAATCAATCATCGGATTTTCTTACAATGTACTCGATCTCTACAAATTTATTGTGCTGTCATATTTGTTTGTGATTCAGACGAATCCGCAGGTCATCAGAGAGAGTCGTCAAAATTTAACGACTATTATTCAAATAATCTGTATAATGTCCATGTAGAAGTTAATGGACTTAGGCTTGAAGAGGCGCAAAAATATGTCTATCTGAGTCAGATCATCTCTGCAACCGGAAAACCGAGTGCATTAAATCTAAAGAACAATAAAGATGGCATGGATCATTTCTGAAAGACTGAAAATACTGCCATTCGGGTAACTGTACTTGTACTTGAAATTGAAACCATTCGACAAATATGCCCTTCCAGAGCTAACCCACGGGTATGAAATGTGGACATTAAGCCTGAAAGCAATTCATAAAGTGCGGACGACCCAATGCAACATGGACGGATGTAAACCTGTAATAGCAAGAATAAAGATAGGAAAACGAATGAATGCATACAACCACAATCAGGAGCCTGTGATGTCATAAACAGAGTAAAAAAATTAATGTGACAATGAAAAAATAGTAAAATGAAAAGCCGCCGATGGATCAGATCACTACACTGGGTTCCAGAAAAGAACAAACGTCTTGTAGAAAAACCTGCAAATCGATGACAAGATGTGCTCCTGAGGTTCTTCGGATGAAGTTGAACAAGAACCGCAGAAAACAGAAGTTTAAAGCAAATTCTTGGAAACCTTCAGCCAAGAACAGATAAAAAAACGCTAATAATGATTTAAATAACTGATATACTTTAACTCGTCGAATCAGCAGCTGTCTACAGCGTAAAGATACGAAACAACGTCAATAAAAATTGTGCGCAATGACTTCGACTCTCAGGGCCTGTTTCTAAGTGCGTCGACAAGGTTTAAATGCGAGCAAATTTTGGAAAAGATAAATCCTTTCTTTCGACCTTGCAGTTTCTGATAATTCAGAAGCTATTAAACAGCACTATTGACTTTGCTGCTTTTTTCTACGATCTCATTATATGATATTTTACTTGTTCGACTGCAATAATTCATTGAAGAAATTTATTCCCGTGGTCGCAGTCACAAAGAAAAACTATTGTTGTATTTTACACTACGCAATATAATGGTAAGAGACATACTGCGTCAATCACCGATAGAGAATCTTTTTGTATTTTGTATAATATAACTGACTTTTGTCACTTTTCAGCAGTTCCTCGTTAAACAGACAAAACCCCTCAAAGCCGCCCAGATTTTACAACGTATTGCATCGACCTCTAGCAGCCATCTGCCTAGCGGGGAGGGGGTTTGTACTTCTCATATACTACCGCATAAACATCAGTGTACGTTCGTACGCCGGATTATGCTAAATTGCGCATAATCCAATCAAACCAACGTTTATGGCTTGCAGCGCCTTGTTACCACTTGCTTACGGGACCATGCACCAATTATGCAGGCCAAGTTACTAATATTTCGTTATGACACTTCTAAGCATTGCTTTCTGTTCGTAATTTATCCATTGCTCTTTCCTTTCTTGCTTGGAAAGTAATTTGTGCCAGCAGTGATTTCATTTAAACAGTCATCTGTTCATTCATCACATAAAATCAGCATAAACATCGTCCTAATCGAAGCAGGCGTTTTTAATGTAGAAAATAGTGCATGCTTTAGGAAACGGAATCAGATAGTTTAATAGTTAGTCTGAGCACGGTGGCACTGTGGCAATGAGGTTAACCTCGAACGCCGGAGGTGCCGGGTTAGATTCCGTAGGACGAGAAATCATTGTCTTAACTGCGAATTTTCTTGAGACTGGAACGTACCCCACGTTTACTTCAGGGTATATAGGCAAAAAACAAGTAGCGAGCTCCTAATAGGTTGCAATTCGCTTTAAAGCATTTGATAGCTGACTAGTCGATGTAATAGTCAGCAGGTGTAACCTATGTTGTTCGGGTAGCATGTAAGAGTGACAGCCGGCAGTAACTGCTCCGTGGGGATGAAGGAGCTGAACCGTAGAGCGAAATCGACCGTCTGCAATTCTGTAATGAATCACCTATGCGCACTTGTATTCATGGGTACTGCACATTAAAAAGAAGTGTCCGATCCTGCATACAAAATGCACAAATGAACCTCGAGATCGGATCTATGTGAGTCGTACTGAAGCCTTGTAAGGTGCTTGCGCAGATTCTTAGCCATTTCAACATGCAAGAAAATGACATTAACTTGGATGGTCACGCTTGAATTTGCCAAAAGTACCCAAAGGAGCATTCAGCATTTATCAGTAGTAAAACCCAGAGAGTTTAGAGTCATTATTCGATATAGCATAACCGTATTATGAAGATTTTAGAAACTGAAAAACGCGATCACTCGATTTTCCTCGTAGCTTCGGTCATTAGCAATTTTACATAGCGTCGTAATGTGCATCATACAAATCTGCACAGACAGCGTGTTGTTAATTATCGTTAGGCAAGAATGGCGAAGCTTGAACAGTAGGGTTCCCATAAAATGTGATGTGAAACTTTTTAAACGATTTTTCAGTTACTATTAGTCAACATTCACTGCTGCAAGAAAGGTTCTATTTCTGGGCACAAGCAAATCTACCACAACGAAATGCCTTCAAGTTTTATAGGGTGCTTTCCAACGAGTCTAACAACGGGAGAAAGCTTTTCAGATTTCTGTTCGCGCAACCGTTTGTCACTATTCGATTTTTTCGAGTTCTTCAGGCAATTCTCTTACACCGCTTCTCCACCACATGTATTATTACACTTTAATACCTCACACACTAAAAATGTAGGTCTACACACTAAAACTACTTAAAAACTGAACTTCATGCCGTGCTGCGTTACCCCCTTGTTCTGGCACACTGTCTAATACTTACTAACGAACATGCTGTTTTAAAGACTATTCTGAGAACTTGCTTCTGGGTACAACACTAAACCCTGAAACATCTTAGAATAAAATCAACTAATTATGAAATATAATTTTTTGACAGAGACTCCTACGGACAGAATTATCCGTTACCTGAACTGACCTCGTCATGAGTGCGCCATGAACGTACGTCGACTCTCCACCAACATTCATTACTTTCCACTTTTTGTCTCCACCTCTGACAAAGTAGTTTGACCATCGCATCGCCCCAGCATACTATTGGACGACCGAGTAAACTTTCGTGGTCCAACGTAACTCAGTTTGTCCCAAAACCCAGTAAAGATAAAATTTTATAAACTACAAGATAGGCGTTACGCATAATTAAAGCAACCGGATTTGATCTGCCAACATGCACAAAATCTGACTCTCTGGTGCTTCAGAATTTACTTAAAAAACTTTATACATTGTACAAGTTTACAAATGTCATCGCCGAAGTGTTAGGACTGCTGCATCTTTTTAGACACAAGTTCTTGAAATTGTTGTAAAATGATATTTTCCTTCTTGGTTCTCTCTTCCTTGCTGAACATGCTCAGCATTCTCTTCTCCTCAGCACTGTAAATCTGGTTTTCTTTGCGAAGTCGAGTGGCCTCCATTCGGCGATGTCTAAAAAACAGTGCGTGATTGTCATGGAAGAAATCAAAATTTCACGATGACAAAAACGTACCTCGTTCCGCTCATCACAAAGCCAACGTCCTCAAATTCTTTGATCTGATCAGACGTGAGACCGATTTCACCTCGCCGAGGAATACGCTTTCCTTCGGCAATGTAGGCGGCCATCGCTGCTCCTTCACCAGGTAAAAGATTTCGGCCGTAACTAAAAATTCACAACATTAAAAGCAGCAGTTCATCCCTGAAGAAGCATACTGTAATATGACAGCAAAGCTGGCGATAAAAATTAACAGCACATCAACACTGACCTAAGCCTTGCGTCAAGAATCATTCATTCGAAACGT